TATATATATATATATATATATATATATATATATATAGCCTCTAATCTTGATCCGAAAAGTTAATCAATAGGCCTTGTTAAGTATAACTAACTTAATCGATAGTTATCGATAACCTCATACTAATGTTATTCTTTGGTAAGTATTTAAACGAGGAGTCATTAAAATGGATTATAATGATTTATATATATATATATATATATATATATATATATATATTATTCGGAGATTATTGGTAAATGTACTTAAAAGTATGTCTGGTCAGGTGAAATTGATAAAAAAATTCACCTCTTGAATAGCCCCATTCTTTGAGCACATTTTACCTAGCATGGTAAAATTGCAATAAGACAGCGAATTTGAAAATGGCATTTTATTGAAAATGTGAGATGTTACTTAGTACATGCCATAACTCCGTGCTCTTTCGCATGTAATTGGGCATTTATCTAAGGATTTAGAATTGAAAGGAGTTTTTCAATCGCCACTTCAAAGAGAGGACTAATCAAATCACCGACACTGATTAATGCTGATTTTCCAAAATATGACGACTGGAAACCTTTGTTACTTGCTATTATTTCATCAACTTCATAATTTCATCAAATCTTCATATTGGCCTTCTTTTCCCATCTAACGAAGAGCGCTTATGTTTCATTTCTGATAAGTCTTTAACTGGCATAATACTGTTTAGTTCTTACCATCTACACATACTATTGCAAATTTCAAAGACTCATAAAGACCATTGATCTAAGTGATTTAAAGTGACGCACAGAAAGATTTACTCTCCCCCCCCCATATTATTTATTTGTAGATTGGACGATGCGAGGAGGCACTATCAGATACCCCTAGCAACCTCAAAGTCGAGGAAGATGAAGACATTGCAACTAAACCCAACGAAGATTTCGCATTTGACGAAACCACACTGTGGAATTTAGTCCGCGAGCACGAAGAGGAACTTCGTCGAAGTCGATTAGGGGATTTTGGGACCGTTCCGTCGACCGTGACCACAGAAGATAAGTCTACGATGAGTCCAACTGCTGTACCTCAAACCACGAATACTCCGATTACAAATCTGTCATACCCTTCTGAGGAAATAATGTCAAATAATACAATGTCAACAACAGAGACAACTGAAGATAACCCACAGATGGAATTAGATGAAGATGAGCCGATTGAGACTGAGGAAATTCCTGAATCTGACCCCAGACCAGCATCTTTGATAGCTGTGAGTAATCTGCTGGATCCCGGATATAATCGAGGTAAATCGCTTTTATATTGCACCAACTTACAAAAATTATGTTCACTTATGATTTATCCTCACAATAGACAATATAAGTTTCCAATGAAAACTGAAATATAAAGTTAAGGCAAAATCTGACCTTTAGATTTGATCGCCTTAAAATTTTTTTGCGCACTTTACTGTTGCCTTTCCAAATGTCTATACTCTAGGTTTCGTCTCCATCCATAGAATGAATTTTCAAGCTTTTCTCTGACATTTCACACTATATTACAAGGTGTTTTGTTGAAATGTTTGTAATAGAGATGTTTTTCCTAGCTTGCAAGAGGAAACCTTGATGTTAGTATATAGTTATTCATGTTTTTAAGTGTTCAGCTTTATATATTTGTTATTGTCTACTTTTGCGGAAAACATTTGCACATGGGCATAGTTTTGGGAAATTTTAACTAGCCAAATGCACAACTAAGCAATTTCATAGCATTAAATGTTAAATTTGCAGTGGTGTTTAAATAAATGGACATATCTAATAGACACTGAGCATTTTCAACTATCAGGCAGTTTTGGAACAAAGTACATTGCCAAGCATATCATTCGATTTTTTTTGGGGGGGGGGGATACAAATTAATTTGGAAACAGCCCAATTTTTCAATACACAAAAATCAATAATTCACACGGCTAAATAGTTTGTGCAAATATTTAGATTTGGAGTGAATTTATTTATTCTAACGGGTGAATTTTCTCGTTGCCGGGAGGGAGGAAATCAATAATAAAATCGACATTTTGGGAGAAAAATATCGGAAGTAAGTGAGAGCAAATTGTCAAGGTAACTACTATTGAGAATTTTAAGGCAACATGAACCACTCTTTAACTTATTTGGAAGAAATACCTTTTTTATCAAGTTTTTACGACTTCATTCACGTAGTTACCTTAATTTATCTGTGGTGAAGATGCGTTGCTAAATACAGAGAAAACTGAATATTTCAACTACACCAAGTCTACAATTGGCAATCGTGGCGGAACAAATATAATTCTAGCTATAAATTGACGTTTGAATATCTAAGTACATCATAATATTCGTATCCAGATCGGCATTCATCAGTAGTTTACATCGAAGCGCCGCGTTTTTTTGGAAGGAGGAGGGTAATTAACCGAAAGAAGAATCCTCAGGTCACAGATGCCTCATACAACCCAAAATCTTTGATGGCTAATGAGTCATGCTGACAGGATCTTATCACTCAGGCTTGGCAACTAATTGATTAATGTGTGTTGGGACATTTCATCTGTCCCTCCCTCCACCTTCCTTCCAGTGGTGAAATGATACTAAGTCGGTTTTCCAAATCAAGTCAACCCTTGTTTATATCAACTTACAGCCCCCTACATTTTTACCAGTGGGAGTGATGCTACTAATCATTCTTCTTCTGGGATGTAACTTGTCGCTGTACCTCAGAAATCGCTGACTTGCGAATTACGACATAACGCAAATACATGCGAATGCACGTCTTTAATCCTGAAAGTAATTTACCTGAACTGAAATTTAAAAGCCATGAAGATTTAAGGGACAATGAGGGCAGAAATGGCACACCCACAAACGCACACACACACTTACTAACGAGATAGTGTGATATCTCTGCTTCCCAACAGGAAAAATTCTCCCCTTTCCACTGAAATTCTCAAGTCTGAAAATGTCGCTTGTTGCTTCCTAAAGGTTAATTCTAAGCTTATCTTCAATACAATCTTCAAAATTTCAATAAAAAAATGATCGAAAAATTAAGCGACTATTTTAACGGCAAATGAATTTCATTAAAGTTATTTATCTAATGAGCCATATGTGCGCAGAACCAATCTTCAGTTTAATTGTCTAAGTCATTTTTAAAAGGTTAAGAGGCAATTTGTGTTTTTTTTCGGGGCAGTGAAATTTCTAAATCCCTCCAAAAGGAAAAAAATGGTGTGAAGTATCGAAATTTGAAACAAAAATAATTTTATTACTTGGTTAAAATTAACCTCAAGACCACAAGGAAAGGGAAATATAAAAAGGACTACCCAGAGTTCTGAAGTTGAAATAGCCCAGCCAACTTTCCATTCGCCCGTGCTATTCGACTAGAATCCTCAATTTACTTTCCAGTGAATAACGGTTCCCATTCGATGTCAGCCAGGTGGTATTTCACAGTGGGCAATTTCCCTCTAACACATGTCGGCTTGTGCATGCGCAAAAAGTCTGGATATCTTCCACCTCCTTTTTTTATTTAATTCTAAAATAAAGCCAACCATCCACACAGCAATGACTAACACCTATTGTTGCATTTCTCCTATCTACCAACAAGCACAACTGACAAATCAGACAATTTTATCGCTGTGCGGGAACAAAAGTAGAAAAATGAGATGTGAATAAGTGAGATTCTCACACATTAAATTAGAAAATGCGATCGTTTTAGTTTCTTGTTGGGAGGTAGATGCTTTAGTCTATGACAAGACCATTTCCCCCTAGGATCGGCTTTATTCCATCTGACGATTTTAGGATCGCAAGTTGTGATTCCGAACCCATCAAACGAGAATGTTGCATGCGCAAAGTGCAAAACACTTGTAACTCAATGAAAGTTTTGTTTAAATTCCAATTGGGAAATATTTTTCCCTCTTCTTGAGAGGGAGGGGGGGGGGGGGGGGGGGGGAGGAAGGGGATAATGGACTCGTGCATAATCTTCCCATTTTGCGCATTATGCAAAAGTATGTGTGTATGTGTGTGGATGGATATGAATGCCGATGTTTCATTTCATTTAGTCGGGCGTAATTAATCATATGCTAATATGAAAACGCAAGTGATGAAGAATTCCGTAATCTAGGCAAAGATTTGACTCCGCACGTGTTTAATGTTAGAGAAGGAGGGGGGGGGGGGNGGGGGGGTTGGGGTGGGGGGAGAGGATGGGGGGTCTTTGATGGGTTTTATCATATATTATCGAATTCCCCAAAAAGGGTCACATTCTTTATCCCTCCCCCTCACCCCCCCCCCCATTCCCAACCTACCTTTGCCCAATGCAATTTGTCGATTTTATAGCAAAGTTCATTCAATATAGAGTGGAATTGGGGTGGGGTGGGGAGAGTGGGGGAGGGGGGAAGGGTGAGGGAGAGGATGTAAATGAGTTCAGTTGGTAAATTGGGCTATGAAGTAATGGGTGGTCGCCAAGGGTTCTAAAATTATTGCAACCAGATGTCTTGTTAGGTCGCAGCTTAAAAGTACAGGTCACATTTTGAATTAATCCAATTGGGTTTGAAATTAATAATAACTGTATTTTGGAGTGGTTTAAATCATTTGCCGAAATTTCAGATCACAAATTTGACATGAAGATCAACGATGTGGACCAAATTTAATGAAGTGGCTGTGATCAAAGGGATCAATAAAAAAGACGGGCAGTTTACAGAAAATGTAAATTTAGAAAACCCTCTTTTGCATAAATATGCCATCTTCAATTAAACCTCTACTCATGGAGGGGAGTGGGGGTGGGGAGCAATTCTGGAATTGGCAATTTAATCTTCATCTCATGGTCAATCAATAAAAATGTCGCGTCAGTGGTTAGATTAAAGAGGCAGTTTAAAAGTAGAACACCACCAGGTCCAGCTGTTCGACCTTTGCTAATACTCTTTCAGACAATGGTCAAACCTTTGTGACTGAAAGGAGTATATCAGAGGTGTTATCATATTTTTGTGAGCTCCTAAAATTTAAATTTTATCGATTTTCATCTAATATTCAATACACCACATCTTAATGCTCTACAGATCTACAACTCTGCCTTCAATTGATCACTGCATTCATCAACCGTTCTTAATAGCCATATAGTTTCTAATTATTTTGAAAAAATATCGATTTTTCGCTTGCATCTTCACCTTCCATTTATGCTACACTTTAATTAAAAAAAACATTATCTTTGCTGCATTCCAGAAAGCTGCCTAATAATGCCGGACATCCGAGCTTGTCAAAGCATAAGAGCATCTGAAGGGTATTTGTGGTACTACGATCAAATCGAGAAGCAATGTCTCGCCACTTCTGACTGTATTTTGAATGAAAATCGATTTGAAAGTGAAGAGGCTTGCCAATCCACCTGCCAACCCAAAATGCGTAGGTTAAATTCGAGTTAATTTTTTTTGCGTTCGAAGTTTGCACTATCAATAATCGCAGCGAGGCTCACTTTGAGTTTATTACGTACGTACGTATTTAGACTAAAAGAAGACTGTTCACGTTGACAATTAAAAATAATTTGCTTATCTTCTATTGCCGATCAAATTCAGTTATTTTCCTCATTTTTAAAATAATATATTCATTTGATTAGAAGACCTTTAGCTCTTTAACGCCCGAATTATTTCTTTGTAAAATTCACCTAACTGCCGACGTGGTGAGTCCTAGTGATACCAGGCGAAGGCCATAGTCACGTATTGAATATGTTTGAAATGGCAATATCGCCGTAGGTTAGGGGTCTAGTACCAATTGAGCTTATTTTAAAATATGACCGTACGCTCCCAAGGTCGTTAAAGGTTTAAGTAAAACACCCATGTGATCGTTTGAGGGATAGGGCAGCCTTTATTTGAGGATTGTTTCCACAAAATTGCATAAAAGTCCTAAAATAGGTTATCGTTAGTGACAATTCCATCAATAAATGTGGTAATTTCGAAATATTTAATGTGAATATTAATTGCTTTGCAGCATTCAAAAGGTGTCTAGCACCGCCCAAAGTTGGTTACGCTCAATGCGCTTACAGCGGCACGCCTGGGGGACCGGCGCTGACAATTCAAAAGGCCTACTTCGACAAGGTCCTTGAAAAGTGCTCCTGGTTCGTTTATCTCGGTTGTGGAGGAAGTGATAATCAATTTCCTTCAATCGATGAATGCAATAATACTTGCATGTCTTTGGAAGCCCTGACAATTACTCGAAAAAGTATGTAGTCATTTGTTATTCAGCTTAATAAACATATTTTTATCATCCAGTCTTTAGAAATGATCCTTATTATGTGAAAAGACTAGGAAAACCGATTAGGTTGAAGCTATAAAACCTCTTTTATCTTCTTTTAAACTTTTTCTTTTCAGAATTTGAAATTAGGTGTCACCCACTAACTGGAATAGCGACGGTATTAGTTTCAGAAAATTTGAAGTCATAAGTTGAGAAGATCTGTTTCAACAGTAGATATAACATCAATAACTGTAAGGTTAAATAAAGTTGTAATAGCTAGTTAGCAACAAATATTGAAAATAAATGTGAACATCTGAGTCAATTTCAAGATCAACAATTCAAACTGACCCTGATTATCCACAACCAAGACATGCTTACCAGATTGAAATCAACTTTATCTACAGAGGCTTTATAACCTGCATTTAATACCTCGATAACAAAAGTTTATCTTGGTTATGATTTCTGCAGGGAACTACGTATATCACCATTGCATAGTGCTCAAACTGCAAATGGCACCATTGTTTTTGAGATCATCATGAGTAACAAAAGCACCGATTGAATTCAGGTAATCTCCCATTTCGCAAATCAGTTGGGAGGAAATTTCGCAGTTAGAATTAAGCGGGCTTCAATGTTGGGACACTGACATAACCGTTTGTTGCTCTAGCCTAATTTGGTTCGCAACAAAGTCTCTTTTACCTGAAATTATCTTCAATAGAATAAACTTAATTTTCCTTTAAAATGCCCTTGACACATGATTTAGCCAATTAATTTTTTGTTTAAATACTCTATTTTCATATAACTGCGTATCGAAACTGAATACCATATTAAGAGATAAACAAAAAACGGTAGCCTATTCTATAAAAGTTCAATTCAACTCCAAAAAATGAGGTATAAAGGTTTCGTCGAATCTTGGAGAAACCTTTACTGTTATCACATTCAATGCCTAAAAGCACCCGAAGGCACAAATCATTCTCGTATGACTTTCAAGTGCACAGTCATCCTAACTTTAGACAGATTGAACTACTATGAAACAGTCTAGCATTTAGGTAAACGGTGGCTGAAATATCATGGCATATTCTTCCTGGCAGATCTATTTTGGCAAATTAAAGGTGGCTGCCCACATTTAGTGTATAATTAGGAGTATTTATCCACTATATATATATATATATATATATATATATATTTCAAATGGCAGGCGTTTTGATAGTTATCATTAGCCCTTTAGCTGACTTTGGACTCCACGGAGAGGAGGGGGAGCATCAAAGTGACAAAAAGTCGAGAGGGAGAAAAGAAGAGTGATTCACAGATGTAATAGAGACAAACAGACAGACACAAAAGCATAGAAAAGGTAAGATGAGTACTGTGGAAGTAGTCGAATATGACAAACAGTGGGGTGATGGTAGTACAAAGTCAGAATTCAACTGCCGGTTAATAGACCTTTTTGCCGTATGAGTATACGTTGTCCAGGGTGCACCATCGTATTTATATTTTGCTTAAGTGTCATACTCATATGTTGTCATTTACATCATAATGGTGCAATCGGATCAGGTGAACGCTAAGACATATTTAGAAGCTAAATCGTTATTCCTATGTTTTCCATTTTACAGGCGCTCGAGAAATATGCGAACTTCCACACATGCTCTCAGATGGGCCCAATTGTGATGATCTTGGGCAGATGTCGTCTCGATGGTACTACGACCAGAGTACAGGTCTCTGCAAGGAGTTCGGGTATGCCCATTGTGGTGGAACAGCTAATAATTTCCTGTCGAAATCATCCTGCGAACTGTATTGTGGAGCTAAAAAATTAAGCCAGGAAGGTAAATAACCACATAGTTTTGTTTAAAATAGTATTATGATCAACTCCGACTTTCTGGTACTCCCCAATTAGTGCTGGGCTTTCCCGGTTATTAACGGTGAAAGAGGGTGACGTGCTTCCAATTCAGTAAAGATCTTGTCTACTTCTTCACTTTATTATGAAAGCACATTGTAATTTGCGACGTGAAACTGATTGGCTTCCTGCCTTACCAGATATATTTCTGTGAGGGTACTTATTAACATATGTGAATTAAAATCAGCAATGTAGATAAAACCAACCATACTGGTTAATTCTAGTCAATAAGTGAGGCATAATAATGCACTTCTTAGATAAGACCCCACTCCCCCTCCCTCCAGAATACCTACTTTACATCTAACTCAAGTGTTATGAGCCCCCCCCCCCCCCCCCCCCCCCAAAGAGATTTGAGAATTATTTGCCAAGTCAGAGTTCAAGAGGTTGATTGTGGAGACATGGAAAGCTGAAGAAAGCAAATTTCACACATTGGGTGCTTAAGAATATCTTCACTTTAGCCAAATTAAGTGCCAGGAATTGCGTTCAATAATCGGAAAATCCTAAAGATTGCAGATCACATATCTGCGGATGGTTCCAATTGCAACTGTTTATGTAGACAAAGAGGACACATAGAACAACAATCATGTTCGAATCGCCTTGTCTAAAAGACAACATCCCATGGATTTTGGAAGCTAGAGTTCAAGTAACTTAATGCATTTTATGGCTTATACTGATGGCAACTGAATATTAAATACCCCCCCCCCCCCTACAACTGAATTTATACCCAAAATTGAGAATATTTTACGGATAGATGGTACGTACTTAAAGATTTAAAGTATCAATTGATTTCGTTACACGTGATCAAGAAGTATTTCCTTTCATTTAATACTCTACTTCTAAATTAATCGAAGTGGATTAAATCAAATTTGTGTTGGGCTAATGGATTGAAAATTCAGAGTTAACGTTAGTTGTCTACATTTTATTAAAAATTGGAAATAAATTATTTTAAAACTGTGAAGCTGGTGGGTATTTAAGAAAAATGAGATGGATTCGAATTATAAAGTTGTCAGATATGTGAATCTTCTGTATTCAAAATGCCTACTTGAAAATTACCTTAAGATCTATAAATCACGAGATCACTGCTTTTTAACCGCATTCGACTCCTAATATGGCATTTGGGAGCTGTAGAGACACTCTTTCGGAAGTTCCATAATCTAATTTTCCCGAGTTTCAAAATAAGCATTTTCTAGGCATTTTAACGAGCGCAGTTGGCTACGCAAATTTCAGTTAACTGAATTCTGGTCATTAGTGCGTTCAGACGGATGATATACTGGTTCACTAATTTGTAGATTTGGAGAGAGAATTTAAAAGGGAAAGCAATTGTCTCTTTTTAAAGTAAAACACGCAATTCGCATAGTTAGGAGACCGCCAGTTTAAAATTAATTTTAATTTTTAGTTGAGAAAAGTGAAACAGAATAGTTGTGTTGTAAAACCGCTGAAAGTTACAATTGCTTGGAAGAAGTTAAATTTAAAATTAATGTTTTCTTAACTTTTAATCTTATATTTGACCTGCTGTTTAAGTAAAAATCCATTTTTTGTATGTCAGATAAATAACCAAATTAACGGTTGTAAAACGGTTCTTACAATTATTTTGTAATAAGTGAGCTGCTGTAACTTGATATAGTGGTGGTTAATTAAATTCATGAGCTTAGTTAAATTAGCAAAAATCAATAAATATGAAAAACAAAAAAGTATTAATCAGAGTTGAAAAAACAATTGGTCAATAAAATAAATAAAACAAATTTTATTAGGTAGTGTTTTTACTGACTAAATATAAAAATAAAATTTTTGTGTTTTGAAAATTGTATGAAATAAATGTTTTCAATAATAGTAGGTTCTTTTCTGGATAATGCAATTTTCTTTCTATTAACACTTAGTTTATTAACATTTAGCATCTACTATTATCGAATTATGAGGAATTTCCGGAACATTCGAATAGCAATTAAAAATTGTCTATTAAAATGTTAATTCATTTTAGAGTGCTTGGAAATTTTTAAAACCATCAATCAGAACGTGCTTATTTGTATCTCTAATTTAGAAATATGTGAACTTCCACCGGAAGTCGGTGAGTGTGTCCAACAAACTTCTCATAAAATGTGGTACTATGACAGTGCAATAGGCGAATGCTCAACCTTCGCCTACTCCGGCTGTGGAGGCAATGAAAATCGATTCCCAACTCGTACCTCCTGTCTTGAGACATGTCGACCCCAGCCTGTCACACCTCTGGTCAAGTATGGCTTCTCTGAAGACGAAGAACAAGAAGAAGCAATTATCCTTAGCCAATTGGAGAAGCCCTCTATGGAAGAAGTTATAGCCCTTTCTGAAGAAAATGACTCAGATGATGAAGAACCCCTAGAAACAGATCCACCAAAGGAGACCCTTGCAACTTTTCCACCTCTGATTTATAATCTCTCAGAATTTACGCCACAAACAATTGGTAGGTGGCTGATCGATTTTCGAAAGGACTTTATTTATTTACATTAAATAGCAGGTTTTATGATAGTTATCATTAGCCCCTTATAGTTGCTGTCCTAAGCATTTTTTTTCTTCCAATCATTCACAGATATTGAACCCTGTAGAAAGCGTCCGGAAACCGGCCAATGCGCTTCGATAGAGTGCTTCAATGAAACTGGCAATTGTGAACCCAAGCGTCTAATTAGATGGTTCTTCAATCCACGCACCAGTAACTGTGAAAATTTCGCCTACAGTGGTTGCGGTGGCACTGCGAACACATTCGATTCTGCGCAATCCTGTTCTGTTGCCTGCAAACAGCGCATTATGCGACCCGAACGTGAGTCACAATCACCCGGCCGTCTCTCTCTCAACAAAGTTGACCCAATTTTTTTTCTTAATCCGGTGGTGGTTTTAGCCATGAGGATTTTTACCCTTACCTATATATATATATTGGATATTGGACAAGCTGCCATGGAGGAAGGGCATTTAAACAAGATAAAGTGTTGCATTTTACTCGATATAAACTTGTCATTTAATTGGGAAATTGAAATCAGGTGAAAGGTAATGATTAATGGCGCCTGGCAACATAGCCAAAATAATCGATACTAAAACGAAGGTTATATTTAGTGACAGTAGGTGCCATTTATTGATTATTTGGCAAAATGAACACTTTCAATATATTGTTGAACAAATGAACTAAAGGATGGTCAATGTTCTGACAATTAACCAATTGATTTTTATATAAAATTTTATTTAAAGAATTAAAGAGTGCCAACAGAGAACGCTGTCGGTTTATTTTGGCTTTCTAGGTTGAGATTTAGCTGTATGTGTTCTGAAACCACTTTGTTGTATGAGGTGCGTTCTGTGTGAACAGTTGGGTAAAATCCTCCAAAAATCAGGAGAATATGATGTTAGTAATTCGTGACACGTTTGATACGCCGAGCAAAGTTGATCTCATTCGTTGATAGCCAGTCGATTGGGTGATTAATTACTTTATACATATAGGAATCATATTTACAAGTATTCACATATTTGCTACAGAGTTTGAGTTAACAGTATATTGTCATGTAATAGGTTTAGACAATCCGATTTAAAATAGGGTAATTAAAGCGCACCTTTAAAATAAGGAAAATGGGAGATTTATTTTACCTTTTTTGCATGCAGATAAACCTTACGATTTATTTTGAGACTTTAGCGCGTGGTGAGAAACACTAGCTGCAAGATTACAGTTTCGAAAAATAGTACTTTTATATCAAGCCTAAGTCAGGCTCGCTTTGTTCTAAGACATTCTGGAAGACTGGTGGGTAAATATTGCAGTAGATTTTGATTTAAATAGTGAAAACTTCCTCTTTCTTATTCAAAAAATTAGTTCAAATGCATCTGATTGCAAAAGAAAGCGCTCAAATTGAAATAAATGCATTCTGTTTTTTTTCTCATAAAGGCGACAAACGTTGTGACAATGATCCGAAGCGTGATAGCTGCTACAGTCTGCCTCTTCCACATCACAAAGAAGCGTCGACTGAGGGCCCGGAGGTACTTTTCTTCTTCAGCATTGCTAGTGGAACTTGCCGAGCCTTCCACCTTAAGACGACTGGTGAAGGATGCAGTAGGGACTCCTATTTCGTTGATGGACAGGAGTGTTTGAAAGTCTGCACTAAATCTTCTCCCACAGAAGAGGATTTGCCAAGTAAGTTTATATGTACCTGAAACCTTTCTTACCAAAGTGGCTATTAATAATCCAAGGCAGACTATAGCCTCTCAGTTAACTCATAAAGCAGAGAGGAAACAACAGATTTTGCCAAGGACTTTCCATTAGCGGTTATGAAAGTCAGATCTTGCTTATACAAGTTCGAAATCAGGTTGTTCAAGTGAGATTTCAAGATCGGAAACTGTAAAATTTGCATTATAGTTTTCATTCCCTTTGTTGAATTTAAAAGGACTTTTTAAAACTACAATTAACGTGATACTGGAACCTCTAGAAATGCATCAGGCCCCATTTGGTTTGGGCATTCACTATTGACTAACTGGGCACTTCATTCTCCAACCTTCAAAGTTCACATTTCGTAACCCACACTGTTGCATGAATTCTTGTGCACGATGTGGAGTGCTTATTGACAAGGGGATTGATTGGGAGAGCACAGGTTGATCTCAAACACACACACACACACACACACACACACCACACACTACTTCACGCAACTTATTCAAACTTAACACGGCAAAGTCTGCAAGAATTTAGCTATGGCCAACTAAATTGCTATAAAAAATTGATTTCACACTACGATATATATTGTAAGCAGTTTCCCCGAGTAGGTAATTGAGATAAGATCGGTTTTATGAATTTCAAGACGCCTCCGGGTTTTATACATCTGAATAGTCATAGTCCTTAAGAAATTAGCATTGTTGCTCTGTGATCGTAAATATATCTTCAATACTGCTGTTTTCCATTTCGAAACTCCACTCTTGAAAAATTATTAAATAAAGCTTCTGTATCATAAGGTTGCCGATTCATCTTAATGTCAATAGTGGGATTATGTTGGGCGAGGTCTTTCTGAACAAACTTCAACATAAAATGTCATAATTTGCTTAAAAATAAGTATTATGTTCTTGGCTGCACGCAAATAAACAGTGCTCCGTCAAATATTTATTTATATCAAATGGCAGGCTTTGCGATAGTTATCATTGGCCCTTTACCTGACTTTGGGATTCGCAGAGAGGAGGAGGAACATCAAAGTGACAACAAGTCGAGGAGGAGAGTGAAGAGTGATTCACATATGTAAAAGAGACAGACAGATACATGGGTAGAAAAAAGGTAAGGTAAGGTGAATACGGTAGAAGTGGTGGAATACGACACACAGTTCGGTCATGGTAGTTTGAAGTAAGAAGTCCACTACCGGTTAATAGACATTTTTTGCCGTATAAGTATACGTTGCCCAGGGTGCACCACGTGGAGGTAAGTCTATCTCACACCCCTCCCCCCTCTCAAGTATAAATATTCGTATATTGCCACTCATATTCCATTAATGTAAACAGCACTTGGAGTGTGAGGTAACTTTACTTTTAATATTATTTCTTTATTTATTTTGAATGTGTGAATTGTTTATATTGTCTCAATTATCATACCTATTTCAAATGGCAGGCGTTTTGATAGATATCATTAGCCATTTAGCTGACTTCGGGCTTCACAGTGGGAAGGTTCATCAAAGTAGCAGAAAGTCGAGGGGTGGGGAACAGAAGAGCGATTCATAGATGTAAAAGAGGCAGACAGACACAAAGGTCGAGAAAAAGGTAAGATGAGTACTGCGGAAGGGGTCGAATATGACATACAGTGGGGTTTTGGTAGTTTGAAGTGAGAAATCAACTGCCGGGTAATAGACTTTTTTGCCGTATGAGTATACGTTGCCCAGGCTGCACCACGTGGAGGTAAGTCTATCGCACACCCCACAATCATACCTTTAGGTAGTGTTTTCTTTTAAAATGTGATAATGGCAACATTTTAGGGGAAGTTGGGAGGACAAGGAGCTGAAGGAAGTGATTGTAGATAGAGGCTTCATCCTTAATCAATTTGCTTCCTGCCACGTTATTGATCGGTTAACACGCCTTATCCAAGCTCAATGGCTGTAATGTTAAAGATTTTCGCTTATAGGCGAAAGATTGGTAGGAAAGGGATGATAGAACCCTTGGAAGGTGTGCGATTCAGTGCCAACCTACTTACTAACATATTAGGTAAAGGCGATTGATTCGATAAATGAATCCAGCTTTGATCAGTTTTAGCAGAATGGTGCAGTTTTTTTCAGAATTCTCCTCAAATTGTGTTTTAGCAAACAGTATAAACTCCTGAGATAAATAATAGGCAAAAGAGTATGAAAACTTTGCGAGCCTCTTTTTGTGTCCTTGAGTTATCTTACGACCTTGATTTTATTTCATTTCATTTCATATCAGCAGGAAATGAAGCATTTGACCTTTGAGATTAGGATCTATTTATTGCAATCTCTAATCAATTATACATTTTTTACTAATGCTATTAAAGCTGCTACCCACCATATTAATTATTGTTTTTATCATTATTTAGACCGATGTTTTGCTCGAAAACGAAGCACAGTCGCTACCAAATGTCCATTCGAACATCATAATGTGTCGCGTTGGTCCTATTTATCAGACCTCCAACAATGTGTTCTCTTTTCTGAATGCCACGATCCAAATTCTCATGTCTCATCCTCATGGGGTAACAACTTTGAGACGAAGGAACTATGTGAAGCCACTTGCATTCCAAGAGGTCTTAAGGGTAAGGAAAGGCTCTGTGTATTCTTAGTTGGCTAAGTTCCCGAAGGCATTTTTGAGACCAGTTGGCTGCTCAAGAAAATTAAAAATATATATTTACACCTTAATATGCTATAAAGTTTAGTTATTTATTTATTCTAAATGGCAGGCTTTTTGATAGTTATCATTAGCCCTTAGCTGACTTCGAACTTCACAGAGGGGAGAAACATCAAAGTGAGAAAAATTCAAGGGGGGGGGGACAGAAGAGTGATTAGCAGATGTAAAAGAATCAGACACAATGGTAGAGAGTAGGGTAAGGTAAGTACTGTAGAAGTGGTCGACTATGACATACAGTGAGGTCATGGGCGTTAGAAGTCAGAAGCCAACTTCCAGTTAATAGACTTTTTTGCCGTATGAATATACATTGTCCAGGGTGCACCACGTGGAGGTTAGTCTATCGCACACCCCATATGCTACAAAGTTAGATAATGGAGAATAAGAAGAAAATGTGAGGCATTCAATTTCTTATTCTTATTTCTGCACCCTTTATTTACTGGAAATTTTGGCACTAATCTATTCTCAATATTATGAGTTTCCATTACGTGTAGCATATTGAAGCTTTCAAATAGACTTATTTAATGTTTCTTTCAATATTTGTGGCAATCCTAGAAAATTTTGATCTGGCTTTATCATTTTTAGCCCAGACACACACATACACAGGGGAAACATTTAGAAAGTAAAAATGGAAGAAAAATTGAATGATATTAATGCCTGTTTTCAAATCTTTTTATTCTACTTTCTTCTTTCCTACTTTTATAGTTAATAGTTGTTAATGCTACCA